AGAAGAAATTCAAACTGTCAGGCAGGTATATAAAAAGGTACTCAACACTTAATCATCAGGGAAATGCAAATCAAAACCACAGTGAGACAGCACCTCACACCTGTTAAGATAGTTATTATCAAAAAGGCAAATGATAAGTGTTGGCAAGGAGGTAGGAAAAGAACTCTTGTACACCGTTGGTGGGAAGGTAAGTTGATATAGCTATATGGAAAACAGTACAGAAGTTCCTTAAAAAAAAAAAAATATATATATATATATATATATATATATATATATATATATATATACAATTACCATATGATCCAGCAATCCCACCTCTGGGTTTATATCCAAAGGAATTGAAATCAGGATCACAAAGAGATATCTGCACTCCCACATTAACTGCAGCATGATTCACATTAGCCAAAATACGGAAACCACTTAATGTCCATCAGGAGATCAATGGATAAAGAAAATGTGGTCCATAATGGAATATTTTTCAGACTTAAAATAAGGAAAGAAATCCTGCCATTTTCCACAGCATAAGTAGAGCTGGAGGACATTATGCTAAACAAATAAGCCAGACACAGAAAGAGAAATACTGCGTGATCTCACTTACATGTGACATCTAAAAGAGTCACACCCATCGAGGCAGAAAGTAGCACAATGGTTGCCAGGGGCTAAGAAGAATGGGGCAAATACGGTGGTATCGGTCAAAGGGCAGAAGGTTTCTGTTATGCAAGATAAATAAATTCTAGAGATCGACTGTACAGCGTGGTGACAATACTTAACAATACTGTCTTATACCCATGAAATTTGCCGGGAGGAGACATTTTAAGTTAATCTCACTCCCTCACACATACATACAACACTCACAGATGGTAAATATGAAGAAGCAGTAAGATGTTAATTAGCTGGGCTGGGTTGTAGTGATCATTTTGCAATGCATACATGCATCAAAACATCAAATTGTACACTTTAAATATAATTTGATATGTCCATTGACATATCTTAATAAACCTGTTAAAAAATAAATTTTAAAAACTCCAGAAGCTTTCTTGAGAAACAAACGATGATCCCTAAAATTCTATGTGAGTAAAAAGGAGGGTTTTTTTGTTGCTGTTGTTCAGGCGCGGAGGTAAGAGGACAGAGGAGGGAATTTAAAGAGAGAGAGGAGACGGAGGGCAGGAAGAATGGGAGGAGGGCAGCGAGGCAGTGGGCCCTCCTGCCTGACGGCCGAGGCTCTGTGCTGCACAGGGGAGGTGGAGGCTGCCGAGCATCCTGGACCCTGGGAGTCAGGTTGGCTGGTCCTGTATCCACAATTCTACCTCTTCTCCTTTGACCTAGGGCCCAGGCTAGAGCCAAGGCTCCCACTCTGTCCATCTCTTCCTGCATCCGCTGTCGCTGCCCTCCTCTGTCACTTGCTGCCTGTCCCACAGCAGGGTCAGGACCAAGATGTGGCTTGGGGAGGCTTTGGCCTAAACCCTGAGATGACTTTCCATTAGCTCCCTCCAAAGTCACCCCAAATAAACTCGCAAGTGAAAAACAAAACGACAAAACTAACTAAAACAGACTATTTTCTCTACAAACACACCACAGTAGAGTTCCTAACACAACTAACTTCTCAAGCCGAGTGCTGGCGCCTCCATGACCATTCGGGTCACTCAGGGAGCACTTGGAAAGGAAGATTCCAAATAGGTTCCTCTTGAGTGTTAAAGCTCCCCAAACCTTTCCTTGCATGAGAATAAAACCCAACTTATAAAGAGGCAAGCCAGTTCCCAGGCAGGATGAACCAGACCCACGTCTTCTTCCCGCTCGGCTCTCTCTTGGTTCATGCTGCCCCTCATTTCAGCTGCTTAGAACAATCCAGAGTTCTCTAGACTTACAGCCTTCGCAGCTGCCACTACTGCCTAAATTTTTTTAAATGTTGGGGGTAAATAACCCATAAATAAATAAACAAGAAACTGTAAAGAGATAAATTCTCATACGGAAGCTCAGCTAAGGACCCCTTTTGTTCATTTATTCATTCGACAAACATTTATTAAGGCTCTACTGTGGAACAAGGTACTGGGTGCTGGAGATTTTGCCAAACCAGATGAGATCTTGTCTACCCACCAAACAGCCACGATACTGGGAGGTCTATGAATGTCATCATCCAGGATGCCATTCTCAAAATAATGTGGTAGGATACCAAATATCATCTGCTCTCCAGAGCCTGGCAGGGATCTAGCATTTGTGAATGGAATGTGATTTCTGATTGTGATTTGAACCTGATTATAATTTCAGCTACCCCACTCAGAGTGAGCGCAGACACACTCTGTCTAAGCCTGGTGTTCATATGCGTACTCACACATTTGCAATGCCCTCCAAATAAAACAGGCAACAAATCGGAGTGGCTGCAAAGGCTAGCATCCAGGCACACAGGCTTCCAGAAAGCTCTTTTGAGCCTTCTCTATGTTCCCTATAATTGCAAGCATCTTCACCTGCCTCCACAGCTAAAAGAAAGAGAAGAGGCTCTGACTCAGATAAGACAGAAAAGATTTTAGATATCATGGAAGTGGGACTTCAAGACTATTCCCTGGGAGATGCTTAGAGCATGAGAAGCAATTCCATTCCAGCACCCAGCTCTTAGACAGTGAATTAAGAAGGTTGAATGTAACTTCTTTTATTTTCTGACCATTAACTACTGGCCTCTAGCTGAAAGCTCAAAAATATTAGTCACCGAAAAAAAAAAAAAATCCAAACTACTAACAGAACCATACCTTGGTGTCCAGTTGTCTAAATCGATGCCTCATTCTGCAAGGAAGTTAAAGAAAAAGAAAGTAAACAAGAGAAAAAGAGGTTGAGAGAGGGCTATTAGGTTCCATTTTGCAGTCTTTTAAAGTACAGAATACAAGTCATTGTCACTCAGCTAAATCAAGACTCAGCTGCATTTACCTTTCTTTCTGACTTTCTTCCTAGTACCCAAACAAAACAGAACCCTCTCACATCACAATTAGAAGCCCAGCACACAAATGCTATCTCTGTTGGTGGGGTGGTGAAAAATAATTTGTAAGGTCTGTCTCTCCCTTGCAAAACCAAGATCTCAGAGTCTAGGGACAGAGGAGAGCTTACGGCACCACGTCTGTTGTTAAAAGAGAATGAGCATCCCATGCTTCTTTCAATGGCTGTATTGAACCCAGCAAAGGTATTCGTTGTGCTTATATATACTCATACTTTGTTAGAGTAAAACTTGAGGTGTTGAACACTCAGGAAGAGTGACAGCTGTCAGTGAAGAACGTTAACCTTTACATAAGAGCATCCGTCTATAGACTTCACAACATATTACTTGTGAGCCACCTACAGACTTAGCTATTGCTTATCTATTTCTATAAGATGTTTAATCAATGAATTTATTAATCACAAGGATTTTTATAACAGCTTCATGCGATTCGTAAATGAGTTCGGGATTTTTTTAGGGGCAGCCTGTAACAGAGCAAAAAAATGGATTATCTCTCTTCCAATCTCTGTACTTCTTCACCACAAAGGTGAATAGGTGTGTGGCACTTGCAAGATAACCCCAATGGCCCATGACCTGTGAGTCTTACCAGAACCCGCCTCTGTAGCTGTAGCAGGGGACCCACACTCTCATCACCTATTTCCACAGCCCTGCACTGCAAGCTCCAAATACCTCTTTCTCCCGCAGGACCTTCAAGGACAATTGAGATAGTAGGTGGGCGGCTTTTTTTGTTCCCTTCTCCAAAGCCTGGCACACACTTCTGTGTTTGTCATCTTTAATTGCCCGGGTAATATCTTTGTGATGGTATTGCTCTCTGTTGAAAATGCTCTTTACTGAGTTTGCTCAAATAAGCTGCCTACGTTCCTTGGGCTCATGCCTACAAAGGGAGCCTCGCAAAGCAGAAAGGGGTGTCTGACATACTCCTCTGAGGTGTCGTTGGCTTTCGTGTTGATCTTGACGAGGTAATTTTCCTTCATGACACCCTCCCACGCCAGAGTCTCGTTGTCCTCATTTTTGAAACCTTGAATAATGAGAAAAAGAAAATATTCAAATTGTTTCATTTTCCCCTTGCTTCCTAAATTGGGATCCTCTAGGCATTTTGTGAGACTGGAACTCAGAATGCAATTCGTCCCGCAGAGGCTGGTCTGACTAATGCTACTTCCTAGTGGCAGCATCCGAGTGATGGAATAGTAATGGCTTTCTCTGTAACAATGAGGAATCGGAGCTGCCTGCGTGAAATAGGAATGCAATCCTTATTCTAAATAGACATCGATCCAAATCCTATCTGTGTGTTTTGTGACTTAGCAAAATCATTCCACTAATGAAATTAGTTCTCACATTTGATATGTGTTTTTCTTCCATCTTGATGACACAAAAATGTGAAACCATTCAGCTGGATAATTGCTGATGAACTGTATACTTACTCTTAACCTAAAACTGGGCTAGGAGCTCTGTAGGAAAGGAAAATAAGCCCAAAGCATTGTTTCTGTCCTTCTGAAACATGAGATGTGGCCCTCAAAAAGAATTCACCTAAGATAGGGCGAGCTGTAAGATTGGTCTGGGATATATGCCAGTAAGATTCTTAGTTCAATTTCTTATGGTGCCTGAGCATTTCAGATGACAGGAAAAAAAGAAAAAAGAACAGATCCTCATGTCACCTATATTTCAGGTATGAATGCAATGGACAGCAAACCTCCATGCAAATTCATGGGGACAGGAGAGTACATATGCTCACACAGGTGTCCACTTGGAATAAATGTACATAGTTTTTAACTTTTGCATTGCCATTTAAATGTATTCATCAACGTGTTAGAGTTTAGGAATAATTATAAGATTTCTCCAGATTGAAAAAGAATTAGTTGGGGGTCAAAGACAGAAACAATACCCACGTGGCTGAATTTAAGCATCTTCTTTTTTCTTTTTTCTTCTTTTTTTTTTTTTTTTTTTTTTTTTTGCTGGAGATGGAGTTTTGCTCTTGTCGCCCAGGCTGGAGTGCAGTGGCACAATCTCAGTTAACTGCAACCTCCGCCTCCTAGGTTCAAGTAATTCTCCTGCCTCAGCCTCCCGAGTACCTGGGACTACAAGTGCATACCACCACACCCAGCTAATTTTTGTATTCTTAGTAGAGATGGGGTTTCACCATGCTGGCCAGGCTCGTCTCGAACTCCTGACCTCAAGTGGTCTGCCTGCCTTGGCCTCCCGAGTTCTGGGATTACAGGCTTAAGACACCATGCCCAGCCTAAATTTAAGCAAATTCTACATAGCAAATATGGATTTATTTTTAAGTGTGGTTATTCACTTTACAAAATAATTCTTAACTAATTTTTTTAATTGTATTTTTTCCAACAAAGAAGTTTCAATGTCTTTTCTTCAAACAAAATCAATGAGGGAGTTCAAAAGGAGTGCTTAAAAATCAGCATGGAAAGGGTAGACACTCCGGGACACAGTCAGAGGGCAAGGATGACGAATTACCAAAAAAATAAAAATAAAAAATGACCAACCTCTGTAACAAAGAAATGCTGATTGAAATGATGAAATAGCATTTTCAATAACCATACTGGAAAATCAGCAGCAAAATAATGATTATATCCTGTGTTGGCAAGAACATAGAGAACAGGTCTCCCATACCACAGGAAAAATCTATCCGTTGTTGCTGCCTTAGGGTAATGGGGGACCAGAAGGTGGAGGAGGAGGAACAGGCAATATACAGAGACTTCAGAGGTGCATACCCTTTATTTAGAAATTTCTCTTTAGAAAGAACTCAAAGGAAAAAAGTATTAATGTGCTCAAAAACAAATGCATAGAACTCTTATAGCATTATATGCTAACAAAAGCAATCTACATGTTTAATAAGGAGCTGATTAATTATGGTGCATCCATAAGCTGAAATACTACTCCACAGTTGAAGGTTGTCATATACATTAGATTGTTATTTGTGGATATGGAAAAAGTTTGCAATGTATTATTAAACAAACAAGTTAGATTATGGATGTGTGTGCATAGAGCAATCCAATTACTATACACCCACACAAGAATGATATAATAAACACCAGTGTGTTGACAATATTTACCTCTGGATGGTGGGTTACATGTATATCACATGCTCTTAATCTTTATTTGTGCTTTTCTATATTTTCCAAATGTCCTATTATGAATATGGGTTGCTTTCCAAACCATACAAAAATAATACATTTTATGAAAAAGTAATTAATGGATAGTATAGTTTTTTATTAATTGAAGATGTCACCAAAAAAGTACCAAAGGTGAAACTTTGGATTCTATTTTTCTGAAAGTCATTTGAAAAATCCTGCATTTTTTCTCCAAAGAAGAACAATGTCAAAATTAAACCCATGACGTCCCTATCGTTTGGAAGCAAAGCAAAGTACATTTGGGAAATGAATTGCCAACGAGAGGCTCTGGCAACTGCCGAGTGCTGTGGTTTCAGGCATTAGTCATCTCCAAGGAGAAGCGAATGAGCAGGCAGTGACCAGGCACCCTGGAGAGTCTGCAGTTAGTAAGTGGAGCTCTTGGCTCTCTCTGTCCCATTAGCACCACACCATCTGAGGGTGGAGAAAGATCCTGTCCTTCTGCCGTCTCCTAATCTCGCTGTGTCTTCGTTTATTCCCGAGAATAAAAACTGTCTGAAGAGGGATAATATCAACAGTTACACCATTTCTCTGATTATTATGAGATTGCCACCCTTCCAGGGGCCCACTTGGGAGACAGGTCCCAATTCATTCATTCACATCTGATTTATATGGTGGCTTCCTTGAGCTGAAGCCCCTTTTCATTTGCTGGCTAAATTGGGGGATTTGCTTCCATTTTATGTTCATATTGTGCTTAATCATTAAATAAGTTTTAGGGGAATATAATGAATATTTTCCTGCCTTCTCAACCCCATCCCTCATCTGGAGTGCTGATTTGTCCTTACTTAGACACTGAATTTCCTGATTCCCGTGATCCTGGACTGAGTACAGTGTATCTTTGGAGAATGGACCTTTATCCCATACAGCCTCAGCCCCTCCTCCCACACATCTCCAACCTGAATCCCACTAGCGATGGGCAGTTAACTAATTCCACAGAGTAATTAATCTCATTTCCAGAAAGCCCACACTGTTAGACATTATTCTTTTTACTGAATCAAAATCTTCCTCACTGCAACTTTTATCCATTGTTTGTCATTTCCCTGAATCATTCAGAAAGAAGTATGATGCTCGTAGGGCTTCTGTTACATGAAGGCACAGAATGGCCCCCTAAGCCTTCTTCCAGATCCTGTAGCCACCAGCCATGACATGGCTTCAACACAGAACCGAAGAGAGTCCTGAGGCATGTCATTAAGTGTTTCTAGTACTTGGGTGCCATTTTTGAGTACAAATTCCACATCTGAACTTCCAAATCCTATGCCTGATATAAAGACTTTTGTGCTTTTAGTTAGAATCAGCTCACTTCATCTTTCAAGGCAAAACGATGGGAAGAAAGACGGCAACTTATCCAAATTGTCAAAACACTTTCTTCATTAAGAACGGCAATTACGCATGTGTGATCGTTAATGACATCCCCAAAGTGACATTTAACATTCTTAAAATAATGCTGTTAAAAGACTTGACTATGATAATTCTTTAAGGTGTGACAGGAGTTGGGGGTTGTGAATACATTTATATTCTGAAAGCCAGACTTTAGGGCTCATAGCTATAGGGAGAGCACAGAAATATGTTATGATCAATATTTAAAGTAGTATTTATGAGTACTTTGTCTCCATTTCTAAGTAAAGAACCCCACAAAAAAAGATGGTTCTTGGCAAGTTAAATGTTTCTTAATTGCCACCAATTACCATGTCTAGGTTAGCAAAATTTATATTTTTACTTTCTGAATCTTCAAAATATTTGAGATTACACTGAAGGCACAGGCATAATCAGCCCCCTGTGGAACATGAATCCAGTGGTGGCAGTCAGTGACCATTTTGTCAAATACCCTGCGGATAAAAACAGAGGGCAACACCTGTCCAGCAGCCACTGGAAGACACAACACCTGTGAACAGTAGAAAGAGGATTCAAAAAGCAGAGAGAAGAACCACCTAACCCTGTTCCTTTAGTCACGTGTACTGAATTCATCCTTAGATTTTCCACTTCCAAATTGCTCTTGACTCCAAATTTCCTATCTAACAGTGACTTTTCTTTTTTCAGTAGTGTTCCAGGTTGGGGGTGTGGGGCACATCTCGCCACCCTCCCCTTCTCCAGCATCTTCCCCTTCAGTCACAGGAGTGAGCATCAGGACCTGTGAAGCCTAATTCCACGTGGTGATCTGTGAGTCTCCCCAAACCGGCCCTGGGAGCTTCTTTGGTCACTTCTGCCTCAAGGGAAACAAGTCCAATCATCAAAGAGGTATCATGAGGTATGTTTCATGGTTCATGTCACCGTTTCTTGCACTGTCATGTCTCTTGTCTACATTTTTTCCTTCCTCTGGGATTCAGGATGGCACATTGTAACTTGGTGGGCTGGGGACGGGGTGGGGGAGGAGGAGGACTGTATGGAGCCAAAACTCAGCTGTAGGATACAGCCCAAGCCTTACATTCATCTCCTACAATCCTCAGTCCTGAGGACTCCTCTCTCCTGTCCTCCTACCTCTCTCAACTCCCTCCTCCCTCCGCCCACTCCTCGCTCTGTGGCACCATCTCAGCCTCTGTCCCTTGGCCTGTCTAATTCCAATTCATCTTTTGGGTCTCAGCTTGAGTATTCCCTTCCTCCATAAATCTTCCCTGATGCACTCTAGTCAAGGGTTTAAGTGTCTTCTATGTGGCCATCACAACCCCTGCACATTCTCTAAAATTACTGTCTCCCACACTTTTTAATTAAGGCTTTTTGACTTTCATTCTCTGCTCCCCACTACCCCAGATGATGAGCCCTGATCGAGGGCACAGATAGCTTCTATCTTATTTAGCACCATATCCACAGGGCCCACTATCATGTGACAAGCTCTTGGCACACATTTATTGAACCACCTCTCCCAGACCCCCTCACTTCCTGCACCACAGGCTCTCTGTGAAGTTATCTACCTCACCTCTGGACCAGCTCCCACTGAATCATGGCCCCCAACCCAAGCCCATATGCCTTTGTTCATGGCGGCATCCCCAGAACTGAGAGTTGATATTTGTGCAGGACTGACCCCCTCCTGCAAGAGGACTGCTTTTACACTATTTATTTTTATAGGTGCTAAGGTGGGAGGGGGAGATGCTGTTTTCATGCTGGCCTTTTCTGGCCTATGCACAATTTCCACCCATCCTTGTGCTCACTCAGTTTTCCAATTTAGATCTGTGGGTAGTGTGGGGTGCATTTTACAAAACTCTGCCAAAGTGGACTGTGGCAGGAAATGAGGTTGGTAGGCTTTTGCTTTTGAAATTTACCAGAACTCAGTGATGTTCCTCTCTTTTATTCCCCTACTTAGACATTTTATGAGAACTTTTTACTGGTTTCTGGGGTCTGTCCAAAATATAAGTGATGATAGGGTTTAGGACACACTACCCCAAAATATGGCACCATGGCATATTGAATATTTTAAACTGAAAGAATTGGAGAAAAGCATAGAATCAGGAAGGTTTCTCTGATCTGGCTTTTCCCTGACCCTCTCCCCTGAAGCAGATCATATCACCTAGGAAAAATTTTCTGACTTTCCCCTACAGCAGGTCATAGGATCCTTATGTGAGAGGCACCCTCCTTATACCCAGAGGAAAAGAGTGTCCTCATCTCCAGAGACACAGGTGCAGAAAGAAATGTGAATCCATGGGCCATGCTGTTTCCCAGTTTATTACCATGGGATCATACTCTGTTTGCCCTGTCCTATTTCTCCACAACCCTCCGCTCTTCAATAAACCTACTATTAAAAATGCTCAAATTTGACTGGGAACCGTAGCTAATGCCTGTAATCCCAGAATTTCGGGAGGCTGAGGTGGGCAGATCACTTGAAGTCAGGAGTTTGAAACCAGCCTGGCCAACAAGGGGAAACCCTGTCTCTACTAAAAATACAAAAATTAGCCTGGCGTGTTGGTGCACACCTGTAATCCCAGCTACTCAGGAGACTGAGGCAGGGGAATCGCTTGAACTCAGGAGGTGGAGGATTCAGTGAGCCAAGATTGCACCACTGCACACTGCAGCCTGGGGGACAAAGCAAGACTCCATTTCAAAAAAAAAAAAAAAAAAAAAAAAAGTTGTTTCTTTGGATCTTCCTTTCCTTACGAAGGCGCCTATGTCACATAAAACTTATAATAAATTTCTATGCTTTCCTCCTGTTACTCTGTCTTTTGCTATAGGAATCTCAGTTGTGAGCCTAAGATGGGTAGAGAAAAAGATATTTTTCCTCCTCTATGGTAACAAGATAACTGAATAATTTATAAATATCAAGGAAACCATTTCGATCCCAAATTAACAAAGGTTACTTTCTGGAGCCATGTTTATGCATTTTCAAAACATCCGCATAGGGACGGGCACAGTGGCTCACACCTGTAATACCAGCACTTTGGGAAGCTGAGGCTGTGGATCACGAGGTCAGGAGTTCAAGACCAACCTGGCCAACATAGTGAAACCCCATCTCTTCTAAAAATACAAAAATTAGGCAGGCATGGTGGCAGGCACCCGCAGTCCCAACTAGCTCCTCTTCAAGGAGCACAGGCAGCCAGCCCAACACAGCCCTGCCCTATCCTGCCCCAGGAGGGACCCACAGGATCATGGGCAAATAAATGGTGGGTGTTTCAGGTCACCAAGTTTCAAGGTGACAATAATATATAACTGATCCACTTAGAGACCCAAAATGGCCCTCCTTTTTTTTTTTTTTTTTTTTTTTTTTCATGAGAAGGAAACTGAAAATGAAAATTGTGAAGGTACCAAAGTGTGGTCCAACCTGAGTCATTAACTCTACAACACTTAGCACACAGAGCCTCGTTAAGACTAGAAGGGTGACCAGCAGTCCCTGAAACAAAGGAGGTTCTTAGAAGATAGACATTTCTGTTACAATTGGGATAGTCCTGGGAAAATGGGCACAAACTGCTCACCCTAACTGGATGGGCACAGGCTGCTCACCCTAACTGGATGGGCACAAGCTAGCACCCTAACTGGATGGGTGCAGGCTACTCACTCTAACCGCATAGGCACAGGCTGCTCACCTAACTGGAAGGGCACAGGCACCCTAACTGGATGGGCACAAGCTGGCACCCTAACTGGATACCAGGATGCAGGACTCTCAGTACTAAGATGAGGAAGTCTTGGGCAGACCACAATGAAATGATCACCCTAGGCCCTAGGCACATTTGCCATTCTGAGTCCTTTACTTCAGAAAAATATATTAAAAATATTTTATGACTTAGTTTGTATAAAACAAATATATTAATATATATGAGAACACTTTCTTTAATCTAAAAGCTCATTTTTTTCTTCTGGTTTTTAAAGAAAATTTGAAGATGTTCAGGAGCCCCTGAGGTCCTGTGGGCCCTGGTACTGTGCCTGATGGAGGAGCAGGCCCCACAGCTGCCTCCCCGCCCCAGAAATGGATGCTTGGGTTAGGTCTGAGGTTAAGGGGTGAGGAAAAAATCCCAGGGTGCCCATTCTATCTTCACTTTTCTGTCCAAACATCCAGACAAATAAAAGCAGGTCTCTTCCTCCCTGCATGCTAAATCTGGTTGAGGTGTAACTGGGAGCCAGAAAGACTGTCTGGCTTATTGGCTTGGGAGAAATGCAAGCCTGATGTGGGTTCCTACAGGCCCAGGAAGACAGCTGGGTGCCAGGTTCCCTTCATTCAAAGGACATACGGCTGATAGCTGCTCCACTTCTGGGGTAGGGAGAAGCAGCTGGGTGCTGCAGTTTGTGAGGGCTAAGAAGGCAGGTGACCACACAAGAGAGAGAATGATCCACAGTCCAATGTGTGGATGGGTGGACACCTGCCTTCCTGAAGAGGTTAGTATGTGGAATGTGTGGGGTGGATCTCTGGGATGGGGGACAGAGGCTGGGGTGGGGGACATCCATCAGAGAAAGCATAGCCAAGTTCTAGGAGTTGGGGTCAGAGGGGACAGCCAAGGACTCTCTGAAGGACCCTTTTATGCCCACACAATCAGGATCAGTTTCAAACATGTACCAAGCCAGGAGACACGGAGAAGCCCAGAACAGCATCGCTAAAGAAGGGGCTTTCGGCTCCCTTTTCCATCCTGTCTCTCTGTGCTTCCAGCTGTGAGCGTCAGTCCCCACAGAGAGAAGGGAGGCACCAGGAGAAGGAACAGCCCACTGCCCATCCTTCCTGGCAGCTCCGCCAGCTGGGAGGGGTAAGGCGGAGGGGAGTCTCAGCTCTGAATAGCAATTAATAGGCTGGTTAATACACTGAACTGCACATTCCTATTTCTAAACTGACATAACGTTTTCTCAAGCAAAACAATTGTAAGATTTTCTGTTCCTAAGCAGAGTCACAAACCCTCCTGGAATCAGGTTTAAAGGTTCCTAGAGAATGAAATTCATGGGAACAATGAAAAACAAAAACAAAGTCATGATCGGACCCTAACCCATGAATTCTGCCTGTTCAACATACCATTTACATTATTATTACATCATTTGTCCAAAAGTCGTTCATTCTCCACAAATCAGAATACCCAGTAGATCTACAGGCTTTCTTTATCTACAATTTCTCTAGAGCAATTCATTGGTTGGTCTGATGACTGATCTTTACAGATGTACAGATACGAACAGTGGAATAACTGTGAATACTTCCTTCCTATTGAGAGACAGACCAGGCATCCTTCCCTGAAATTAATCACTGCTTCTGATCCCATGCACACATGGATGAACCACTCACAGCAGACAGAAGACTCCACGTTTTTCTCCTTGCAGCAACACTTGAAGCACTTCTTCACCACCATGTAGAAGTAAGCGAAGACGACAAAGGGGAAGGGGATATTGAGGCGGCTGCAGTACTCCTGCACCAGGAAGTACCTCTGGAACTTCCAGACCTGGTCATTGTTCTCCTGGACGGTGCCCACCGTGTAGCTGGTGAGGGAAAAGAGAAGACCAAAACTTAGCATTCCACATGCCTTATGACTGAATGGCCAAGTATGGCAATAGTGGTATCAAGCTATTATTGCAGTAGCTTAAGTCCACACAGGAGAGAAGAATCCAGACTGATACAAGAGCCAAAACGACTCAGCAGCAAGTGAAAGTGATCTTCAGTTCGTGCTGGGCCAAAATATGTCTGGCTTTTGGTGGGTTTTTTTTTTTTTTTTAATCACAAAAAAGTGCTCAACATACTTTAAAATTATTTTATTTCAAGATCTTTCAATGATTCTTTTTTGTTGTTGTTCAGTTGCTTATGATGGTAGATACAAAGTGGTGCAAAATATCAACAGTCATAGGACTAGCATGGCAGCCGTCATCCATGTCTAAGTGTAAACAGCCTGGCAGGAAAGCAGCTCATTAGTGTTTATCAAGAGCCTTAAGAATGCTCAGCCCTTTGACCTGGTGACTTTACTCCTGGGGGTTTACCCTAAGAATAAGGAAATACTAAGAAAAAACGCATATGTAAATGAATATATATACGTGTCTGTTGGCCACTAGCACCACAGGTAACAGCTGCTGCCACCCCTACTCAAAGAGAAGGAAGAAACCTACACATTCATCACTAAGAAAATGTGTCACACATTATGGTTCATCAATATGATTACATTATGCAGCTATTAAAATTATGAATAATTGTACTTTGGGGAAATGCTTATCATATATGTTATATGAAAATAATTAGGCTCAAACTTGTACTTACAATATGGTTTCACTACGCAAATCTCAATTCACAAGGAGAAACAGATCAACCATGTATGGTGGTCACCTCGGGCATCACATCTTGGGTGCTGTTTATTCATTCTTTTCCATTTGCTTTCCAGCATGGTGCAATGAGTATGAATTATTTCCATAATTATTAAAATGTTTATTTTGTGTCCTACTCCAAAACTGATTTTTCTGTTACAAATTAAACCCAAATTATAAAATAGCTAACATTTATTATATGCCACTGTTTTAAGCAGTTTGCTTAAATTAATTGTCTTAGTCTACAGACAACTCTCTGATGTATGTCTATCATCTAAAATGTCTATTATCGTCTACTGAACAGATCACAATGGAGAAACAATAAAAGTAAGTAAATTGTCCGAGTCCCCCGGTTAGGAAGCGTTGAATCCAAGATTTGGACTCTGCAATCCAGCCCCACGTCTACTTGCTTCACTGCTACACGATACCACCTCACAGAGGGGAGTGGAAAATGTTTTAAGCAATGCTCTGTTTCAAAAAAGGGGTTTGAGATGTGCTTCATTTCAAAAGGTTTTTATTGGGCTACTTGCCACCTTAGCATTTTAGATAACTACAAAGTATATTACAATTTGTGAAGTTCAACCACCCAAGACATTTTTATTGCTAATATCAAATGATCCCTTCAAGAGCCAAAGAAGCTGCAATGAAGCATTTGAAGGCTATGAGCAAATCCTGATGGGAGGAGCATTAAATTCTCCAAATTCTGGGGAACATCCTAAATGAGGAGACCAGGAAGAAAAATAGATTACATATGTTGTAAGGCCTCATTCTTGCACCTTAATACATTATATTTTATTACATTAGACTTAAATATCTTAAGCTAAAAAAAAACAGACACCTACACAAAACACTGTAAAATATCAGATACTATGCATAACACCATGGTTATGGCTTTGCTTAAAGTTTAGCTTTGTTTATTTTGGTGTTTAATGATGAATGGGACACCTCTGCCATCTACACTAGGGTCCGGATCCTGTGTAAGGCAGACTTGTAGCAAGTGGCTCTTGAACAGGGTGAGATCTTTCAAGGGAAATGATTCATGTTTATTGAACATCTTCTATACGTAAGCTCTTATACTAGGCATGTAAAATGGTTACTTGACTGATCCTTACATCAGCCCTGAGTGATGGATTGCTTAGGTGAAAAGCAGCCACGACTGGGATGTATTATAATGCAGCAAATCGAATCTAGCAGCCAGCCTGGCATTTCTTCCAAATGTAGGTCAGCTTGCTTTGAGGCTAATACCAAGCATCATTATCCACCCTCCCTAGTCCCCAGCTGGTTCTGTTGCCTACAAAATGCACTGCGTGCTTCTGCTGCTGCAACGAGACAGGTGTGCCTGCAACAGCCCCAGATTAGAGAAGTGCAGGCTAAGAACTTGCCAGAAATCACAGTTTATGACGTGGGCCAGAACAACTATTACCGTTCAAAATATTGTCCCTGGAAGCAACTTGAAATCTTAGAACCGGGGAAATTTAACCTAAAAATAAGAAGCGATGAACACGAAACATTTTAAGCAATGTTGTATTTCAAAAAAGAAATAGATGCTCTATTTCAAAAAAAGAAATAGAAAACTTTGACTATATATCTAGTCAAAAATGGATTATACTGACTTCCCAAAACTCTAACAGCTAAGAAAAAAAATCACAACAACTGCATCCATTTTCACGCATTGATGTTGTTTTCCGAGATATTATTCAAAAGCAAGTCATAAGTCCTGTGGAAAGGAGAAGCTTCCAGGATGCTCAGAGAAAGGGAAGGCATTCTCTCTGGCAAGTGGGCCTCCCCTCTTCCTCAGAGAGCTTGGCGTGGAAACGCAGCCCAGAAGAATTCAAGTAAGAAGAGATTTATTGCACCATGGCTTACGTGCAAAAAAAAAAAAAGAAAGATAATTTAATGAGGAGACTTGTTCCAGAATAAATAAGGAAAACTTTAATATCCTTCCTATATACCAAAAAGTAGCCACTCAGAGTCAAGGAAATATGTATCTTCTAGATCATCCAAAGTAGGGATTAGAACACTGCAACTTGGAGGCCAAGCCCCCAACCTGTTTTTGTACAGCCCATGAGCTAAAAATGGCTTTTACAAAGCAGGGTGGTATGGGTGGGTACAGCATTGGTGAATACTGCTTCTTTCGACACAGCTGACCAAAGAGCCTAGCTGGCCCTTACAGAGAAAATCTGCGATCCCTGCGCTACAGTGCATGCAGGCCAGTGCCCACGAATAAGGCCTTGTGTTTATATTATTCCCTGCTTTAAAGAGCTCTGCCTCGTATGTCACTGATCATTTGTTCCTCAGGACAACCGCGTTGACTACACGGGTCCTCCTGCTGGAAGGGCAGATTCCTCTGTACCTCAAGGGCAAAGGTAGATCCAGTGAGCAGCAATGCTTTCCCAGACAAACAGCAAGAACCCTTATGGGCATCCCAGGGGGGCATGAGTGAGCCAGCTGATAACTGGACATTAATACCTAAAAGCTGCTTTGCATAAATAATGCATATTCATGATCGGCCAGGCTGAGGTTTATTTATACACCAAGGTCCACCTTACCCGGACGGCAGCAGCTTCCAAAATGTTCTTTTTCTCTCAAGTCAGTCCGGGCCTCAGCCAAATAGACATGAGGGTTCTCCGGGGGGGGCTCCTAAATGGAACGATGCTTCCACCTGCTTTCCTAAAATAACGTTTATATTCTGTAGTCATTGTTTTTGAACTCTGTGAAGGAGAGACTGAACTCTGCAGTAAAGGACTTTCTGGGCCAGCACATGCACACCCCCTCAGCATAGCCAGCATTGGAGTGGCTTAGAAACCATCTCTCGTGCCCAGGGTCTCACCCGCCCCAACTCAGATGGTTCTTGAAGTCTCCTTGACAACCAGTGGCCATCTGGTGTCGTCCCTGAGAGAATTCTGCAATTGTCCCTGTGTGCATCTCCAGTACTATCTTGTGCCCTTGGCGTCCCGTCCCTGGCAAACATCCAGCTGGCTGGAGATTTGCAATGACAGCTGAGGTCCATCTCCTAAAACTGAGCACCTTCAGCTGAGCAGGAGAGGAGGAGGAAGGGAGAAAGGGGCAGCAGTTCAGAAACTCACCGAGAGTGGAAATAGTCCTAAGAGGGAACAGACATTTAGAATTCAGATAGCTTTGTACATAAATGAAGTCTAGAAGTATGTCAAAAGAATAATACACCGTGACCATGGGATAGGCTGGCTAAATATTAAGAACATTTATATCATTCATCATTTGTACAATGCATCACAATACTAGATCAAAAGGAAACATAGCATTTCAATAGTTGCTAGAAAGTCTTCTGGCAATGTATAACAACCTTTTCTGATTAGGGGAAAAAAAGAGAGAAAGGGAGAGGAGCTTAATAAACAAAAAAGAGGAGGAACCTTCTACGACATGATAAAAAGAAAAAAAAAAGGAGAAAGATAATTTAGTAAGGAGACTTGTTCCAGAATAAATAAGAAAAACTTTAATATCCTTCCTATATACCAAAAAGTAGTCACTGAAAAAACATAATAGTAAAAGTACCTTACTGTTTTTAAGTGTCTGGAAATAAATTAACAAGAAATCTTCCAGATCCATATGAAAAAGACCATAAAACTTTACTGGGAAATTATATAGTGTCTGAATAGATGAAAATCATACCATTTCTTCCAGATAGTAAGATGCCAAATTCTCTTAAATGATTCTACAAAACTAACATCATCACAATAAAATTCACAAGAATTTTTGGGGAAAGGAGAAAGATAAAAAATTCCCAAGTTAAGCCTTAGGCTCCTCTGTACAATTAAATATACAGAGAACAGCCAGGAAAGTTTTGAGTAAGAATAATGAGGAAAACTTGTACAACAGATGTTAAAATAATTTTTTTAAAAAAACTTCAGTAATCAAAGCCATTTGGTAGTAAAAACCAAAATACAAAGACAGATCCACAGAACAGAATGCAAAGCCTGCAAAAAAATTCACAAAGAAAAAGTAGATTCTAAAACAATGGCAGAATTTTCAAATGCATTGAAATAGGAGAAACTTGTCAGCTAGCTCTCTATCTGACGGACACCTCCTTTAAACTTTGCATAGGTGTCTTACTTTTTCCTTTATCACTCCTTCCCTGGCACACAGGCAATACCTAACCAGTACTGCCCCATGGCCCATGGTGACACTGACTTTTTGCTCTCTCTGATGCGCCA